TTACAATATTTCCATGGCTAAATATTAGATTTACATTCTAGATCTCAATCAAGACTGCTTTCTTGTGATATTTACCACATTTGTTTTAAGTTGCCTTTTACAAAATTATCAATTTTACCCTATTCAGTATTTTAAAGTGAATCCTGAACTTTGTAGCTATATTGTAAATCCCCGGTGTTGTCTGAGCACTTACATAAAGGTATCATGGAAAAGTGGGGCAACTTGATCTATCCAATCTGTATTTAGGACGTAAATACCAAACAAAATAATCACAAATGTATATTTTTATTACAGAATAAAACATTGGATACAGAAATACAGAATTGCATTTAAAAGCTAAAATTAGATTTTTTTAAACGTTGCATTGACGTTATCTGTGCAGTTAATGAAGGACGAGATTCCTCCAGAATGTCACATTCTGACTGGAGTCTGTGAACCAGATTTCAGCCCCATTTCCACTATTTGTCTCTAAAGAATCATCGTCTTATTAATCTGGTTTAATAAAACATTGCAGCTGGATGTGTTAAATAAAAAATTGGAATACTGCTGTGACTAAAAATGTGAAAACAAATGTATGTGAGTTTAATTTCTATTTGTTCCTTTGTGGAGCAATTAATATACAGCCGTAATTACTATAATTCAGCCGCTTTTTAGGGTTTTGGCTCCCAACCATAACTCAAATAGGCCTTTCAGCCCACCCGTCCTGCTCCATTTTATTAGTTCATGTCAGCGCTCTTATCCATCCAATCTATTTTCTTGACATTTCTCCACATCCCTCACACACTCCCCAGTAAGAATAATCCCCAGTAAACCCAGTTCCCAACATTCTTTATAATACTCACTCACGCGCTCACTCACACCTTTTGCATAATTGATTTAGGGAGTTGGTCAAAAATAATCCAGAGGTCGTTAGGACATTTGATGTTGAAGTGCAACGTTTACATCCTAGGGTTTGAATTTATTTTTAATGGTTCAATAAAGGAACCTGATTGTCATGTAGTATTTTTAAAAAATGGATTCACTTTAACTTCACTGAATTAACTGGTTTTAAAACAAAATCCCAGCCTTTTTTCAGATTTTGTGCATTGTTTGTGTCATTATTGAATTAAGATGTATTTTGACATATGCATTTGACTGTTATTTAAAATGTGACAGATACACCTTGCTTCTCAAGCAAATGTTTAAGTAACTATACAGCAAAAGTAATGATTGGTTTTTGAAGTTTGTTGAAGCCTTCCATGGAAGTCCTTGAATTTGTGTAAAAGAACTCAACAGACGCACTCCAGCAATGATGCCATTGAACACTGGACATTGCTTTGTTCTCTTTAACACTTCCACTATTTTCAGGAAGTGGGAAAAAATGATCATTCATCTGCCTCCCCCCCGATCTTAGTCAATGTGCTTATTGTACTGCTTTTTGATGATAATAAATATTTTCTTGCGAACTTTCGTTCATGTTTCTTAATAATGTTCACTGCTGTCTTTGTGGCATTGTTTTTCAGTTGTCAGTTGATTTTTCCCCCAGCAACTCGCTTTGGGACGTCCTCCCGACGTGAAAAGCGCTATATCAAATGCAAGGATTATTATTATTATTACTAATCCTTCAGCCTGGTGCAAACTGTAGCTTCAGGATTGTATCCCAGATTGAGCTTCATTAAAGTTGACTTTTTTTAAAACTCCACAGAAGTGCATTCTCAGAGGCTTCATACCAAAATGAAAGTGACCATGTTTTTGCCAATGCCCTTTGACAATTGTTGTCACTTGTTTTCTGCTAAGTGTTCAGTCAGAAAAGACAACTTGTTGCATAAGTACACCTCATTACCACAACTTACTCATTACTAATTATGTTGCACTCTAATGTCATGTAATTTTCAGTCAAAAGAAGGGTTTCTGATTAAAGTGCAGAATCGGGTAAACAGCAAATCACCATGATTGGAAAATCAAAGGTATAGAAACCAAAATAAATTAATATGTTGCCTTGGTTGACTGACATTTTAGATACCAGAATGTTTTTTTCCCTCTGATCTGCACAACACAACGTTGAATATACGAAGGGTGTTGACATGGAAAAGGTCTGTTTACATTGATGTTTGCTGTAGTTTTAACAATCCATGTGTATGATGCGGGTTGGGCTACAAACATGTGCCAACATATTTGGAATTGAGAGGATTAGTTGAGGTATGGATCAGCTGTGATCTAATTAAATGGCGGAACAGGTTTGAATGGTCTACTCCTGTTCGTATGTTTCTATGATTACAAGTGCTCTTAATTAACAATGAAAATTATTTCAATGCAATGCTTCATTTTGGTTTAATTTACTATTGAGGCTAACTGCATACATTTACATTGTTAACACAGAACACAAATTAAACTGTACAAAGGGACCTGGAGATCAGCACTGACCTTTATACAAATAAATAAAATTGCAACAGGCCTGGCCTATATTGTTAGGAATATAGGAATCGTCATTCCTACATTGCTTTATGATTGTTTTAAATGCGTTTTTATTTTGAAACTTGGCTCCTCTCTTTCCCTCCAATAGAGAGTTGTGACCTAATTCACTCCAGTCTCCAAGTGTTTTGTATGTAATCCTGTGAGCCGTATTGCTTTCAAATTGTTTGATGTATCAGTGACCTGCTGCAGACTGGGCAACACTATAACTAACCATCATCACTTTTGTGGAAACCTTATAATGTCACAGGAGTGAGGACACAGACACCTCAGATCAGGTTCCTGCCAGCGGTTGGGACACGTCTTTTTAACACTACTCACCAAAAGGTGACACCTGTCAGGTCTCACAGTGAAACACATGTGAGTCACATTACAGCCTTCGATGTAAGTGGAACAGTTTCGTTAGTTACAATTTCCATTCAGTCGGCTCTGAATTATTTTGGAGATGGTCCCAAGCTGGAAAAAGTACAATAAGGGGAAATAACAATGCAATTTCACATTTATATAAAGTCTTGGAGATCTTAAAAGAGCCGGGAGGGGTGGGTGGGGGGGAGGGGTGGGTGGGGGGAAGGGGAGGTCGGGGGTAATTAAATCAATTAAAAAATTTTAAAAATGTAATGAAATTCTGACAAAGCAATAGTTTTAGACTACTTCCACGAATGTTTCGTTGTAGCTCAACAATGGCAAATGAAGTAAAATTGCCTGTGACAATTTACCAATCTCACGAATTTTGACAGCAATTCCAACTTCACTCAGAGGAGGGCACCACAAGTGCTGGGAAAAGGCAAAACAAAACACAAAATACTGCAGATGCTGGAAATCTGAAACAAAAACAGAAGTCGCTGGGAACACTCAGCAGGTCAGCAGCATCTGTGAAAACAGGAGAGTGAGTCAATGTTTCAGGTCCACGACCCTTCGTCAGACCCTTGTTCAGACGAAGGGTCATGGACCCAAAACATTGACTCACTTTCTCCATAGATGCTGCCTGACCTGCTGAGTGTTCCCAGCGACTTCTGTTTTTGCTTCAGAGCCAAAATGATGTTCATTCCTCATGAAGACAGACTTTCATTCTGTACATTTTATCTCCAGCTCAATGCGTTCAAGCATCATTTTGATTCAAGCATGGAATAATATTCCAATTACTTTAATTATACACAATTCCAGATTCATAACATCACCCATGGAATAGCTTGTACTCGCTGAACCTGAGTGGGAGAGGGTTTTATTCAGTCCTGTGAATACACTGACGTTTTGATGTGAGCTGGAGAGGCACAGGGGAAGGGCAAATAGTTCCTCAAATGTTAAGAGTCAGAACGAGTCAACCTGGAGTTCGAGTAACTCAATACACTGCCAATTTGCTGGAAAATACAAGATTATCCAATGTTCTTTAACTAACACGTAGAATAAACAGCAGAGTCTCCAGTGCAGTAACACCCTGATGTTCCAGTGTCAAAGATTGTCAATTTGAGCCTCATTGAACTCTTTTTTTAAAGTAACTGCATAGTGTGATTTCCATCTCAAAACCATCCTCTTCTAATGAGGGCCTAGAGGGAACACACACAAGGATAGGTTTTTTTTCCACATTTATTAGCTTTTTAACACTTCTAATTTCCTAAATCCTTGCACTGTGCCACACAGAACCCGATTACCTTGTGATTTTGGCTTAGCTCCATTTACAACTGTAGGTTCCTATTTTGAAATCTAATGCAACAAGTTTTCAATAATTCCGGCTTTCACTTGCAAGATTTCAAATCTGTGTTAATCTTTTGATTACTAAGTCCCCAATGTGAAGATCATATAAAGTGATATCTTGGCTCCTACAGTAAGGAACGGGCCCAGGAGTGCATGACAGATTACATTGCATCCATCACACAATGGGGTCTAATCTAGTGTTTCTAAACAGATTTCTTAATAAGAAACAATATAGTTATCGCATTTCTGAAACATCAAATCAAATAGAGGAAGAATTAATTTCATATTTAGAGAAAAGATAACAATCTACTGCATTTTGATAATCACAAATTTCTTGTTAAAAAAATGCCACAAATTAGATGTCAATATATAACCTGAAGATGGTTTCTTCTTGCAATGTGCCTCTTAAGGTTATTTTAAGACATGCCACACATTAGCAACCACTTTCATTCATTGAGCATCGGGTGAGGGGAGGGTTCAGTAACACTGTGTGGGATGGGAGCTCATTTACTCATTGACTGGTACAGCATGTGGGAGCTCAGTAGCTCGGGACCCAAGCCAAAGGAAGGGCCCAGCTTCACATCAGAGACACGTCACATAATCCCATTAAATTGCTGTGAGCTGAGCTGCTCCATTGGGAAGATCCGGAAATAAGATGGCAATTCAGTGTCCTCTTTGTGATCAGTAACAGCAGAACTGAAGTGCCCGCACTCACACCCATTCTCCATGGGAATCACGTGGGTCACTCAGAGGGAAAAGAGCCTCTAGATCTAAAAATAGCTACAAAACGGGGGTCGGGGAAGAGAGAGTCACTGCTGGTTGTGTATGAAATGAAAAGTCTCACAATGTTCGATTTCTCCAGTGCAATTCATTGTATTAAACGTTTGGGAACAACAGACTGCAATCCAGCAAATGTACAGACGGGAATCTTCAGTTCAGGAAACTTTTCCAGAAACTTCTTATTCAGTCACAACCGGCGTCTTTGAAAACTACATTTCACAATAAACAATGAACAGCAACTTCAGGCCAGACATGGACAATTGAGTCAAATTGATTCAGCTTCAAGTCCAGAGATTGTTAGCAAATTGTCAGCCTGGCAACCATTTTAACATGAAATCCCAGCAGCATAGCAAAAAAAACACAAGAACCAAACCCAGGACTGTTTAACCAGTATATATTTCAATGCATAAAGTATACACAGTGCACCCCAGTTTCTCTTCTCTAATACAATGTCCACACTTTGTTAATGTTGAGGAAGTTTACAACACATTTGGCATTAAACAAACAGGAGGACAGTGGTATGATGTTCAGAACAAAGCGCTAACAGAAACACATCAGCTCCTGTGCTAAAATATTACACCGGACCTTGGTAGGAAACCATAGAGCAGAAGTAAAAAATAAACAAACTTATTTCATTTTTATGTACAACCCAGTGCCTCCCACTTCAGACACTTACAGCAAACCTCTCTCTAACAGCAGAACATGAACCATTATAAATAGATACATACAAGGGCCATCATCCTGCAGACTCCGCCTAAACCTGTTTCCCCCCCAAAAAAAAGTTTAAAACCTACAGAGACCCTCGCTCATGCAAATGGAGCAGTGTTACTTTACTCGCCAACTGTTTCTGATTCCAAAATGGGTCACAAAAAAATAAACATATCAAAAAGAGTATAGCGAAAAATGAAAAACAGTTCTGAGATAATGCTTAAGATTTTTTTTGCTTGTTTAATTGGAGTGAGTGGTAAGAGTTCATTTCTCACACCTAGGTCTGACCGCCAGCATCACATCAGGATACCAAGAAGAGCATCTGTCCACTAGCCTCAGGAGAAATGGAATAGAACCCAAATTTCCATAGCACAGGGCCAGGGTCTAGTGTTAAAAATAAGCAGTATAAAAACCAGTCTAAGGTTAAAGCCGTTTGTTACAAATTCTTTTTTAAAGGAGGAGGAAGCTGTTAACCAGATTAATCAATGTTTTTTAAATTCACAAGAGCAACATCCTGGCCGCTAGTGTACACTATGTTTGGACCAGAATTGTTACAGTAGGATTTTGTTTCCCCAATTTACCCATTTGACTTGTTCTCTTATGAAGTCTCTTTCCCCTGCGCGCCAGTCGCTGTTTTAATGGAACTTATTGTTCTGTTGAACCAGGTCTTTTTTGCTGCTTGTACTTCATTTAATGCCAGACCCAGATGATGCTCCAAATCCTGAGGGGGAAAAAAACAAAAATCTTACTGATTGTTACTGATCAAGAAACTGATTTGTTTAATCAATAAACGACATCTCTCATCAACCCGTCCTGGTCAGAGCGAGCAAGGGCTGAGATATGCCTTTCACCAGCGAAAACCAACAAACAGCCACTTACCCTGGAATCCAACACGTGGGTTAGTTACCAACAGCCACACAATGGCTCAGCATTTCACACCCTCAGTGTTAATGGTGAGAAATGCTGAACTGCAGTCTGTGTTGAAGGGCACATTCAGATAGAACCACATATACATGCAGTGTGTGATGTGCTAATTAAGCCCCAGTCAACGACAGCTACAAATGAACAACCTCTTCTCCATCCCCATCGACTCCCACATACGACTTCAGCCAAAGGTCTCGTCCATGGCTGGAGGCGAATTTCAGTCTCGGACGGAGTCAAGTTTACACACAACGAGGTTCCAGAGGACGGGATCCCCAGGACAGTCAAGTGCACTAGAACATTCCGGCTCCTGTGCCTCAACAATACACTGCAGCTCCTCCTTCCCCCCTCACCACCCCCCACACTGTGCTCACCTCATACCAGCCGCCTCCAAGCTCCCCGCGTCACATTGCTCCTGAACAGCAACAACAACTTGCATTTATGTACAGGATAATTGTACCATTATTGTGAACACCACTATAATAATAATAATAATCCTTGCATTTGATATAGCGCTTTTCACGTCGGGAGGACGTCCCAAAGCGCTTCACAGAATATACTGTAAAGTGAATTGACTGTATATTTGTGGGCGAACGCGGCAGCCAATTGCACACAGCAATCTACGACAACAGTCGTAGATTGAAAATGACCAATTTATTATTGTTTTTGGTTTTGGAGGGATTATTATTAGGCTCTGTGTGGAGTAAGGAAACTTGCCCAAGGTTTCGCCCTCTGCCTGGAATTGAACTCAGGTCTCTCACTTGCAAAGCGAGTGCTCTAACCACTGAGCTTCAGGACTATAGTGAATCCTTGCACTACTCACCAGCCTCACTGTAACCCATGTTAAAATCTCCCAACAGAGCGGTTTCTGCTGCAAACCCTCAGCCTTAAGCAGCTGTTTGTTGGTGATGTTTTTTGATGTGAATAATAAACACCAACTTATCAAAATGACTTAATTCACAGAAACGCTGCTCAGAGGCAAATAACAGAAGCTCCTGTGTCAGTCTGTAATGAGGGTTTGGCCCTGGTTTGGTTTACTATCACATCAAGAGCTCTTAAAGCTCTGGCTTACAGAAATTGTGCAGTTTCCCCAATGCACACTCTGGAGCTCCCCCTCCCCCCATCCCCACCAAACCTTGGCTCTCGCCAACCTGCGCCTAATACTCTCCGGAATTAGGTAAGCAGGGTGTGTCCCTCCAGGGAGAGAGAGAGCGTGAGAGAGTGAGCGCATTCTATTCCAGCAATCTATCTCTGGGATTTCCATGTACAGGTGGGGTGCAGGGAAACATCAGCTTGGTTTGGTTACTCTTTACCCTGGTGATGGGTTTCCGTGTATCAGAAACACATCTGGCCACACACACACCTGTATTTTACACTCTGCCTCCACCAGCTGCAACTTGGTTTGTGCCAACTCCAGCTCCATCTCCCGCAACTGATTCTTCAGTAACTCTTTCTCGTGGTCCTGGTCCTCGTCAGAATTATCCCTCAAAGTGCTGACTAGTTTAAGTGCCCCCTCCTTACTGAAGAGCTCACAGCATCGCTCACAGCCTTCAACCTTTAGCTGGAGTAAGAAAGACCAAGGTCAGTATAAACATGGTCACAGAACAACAGCTTGATCTATATTCAATGGGATGATTTTTTTTTGCACAACAACCAAAAGTATTTTATTCAGTGTGTGTACCATTCAGTCTGCTGTACATTTATAACATTATAGTTATTCCCCTCCCCCCATGTCTGGGAAGGAGAGTTTGCTGCGTAATATTTGGGATATATTCTGAACAGCCTGCCAGGTGTTCAATGACATTTAGTGTTGTCATTCCTTATTGATTAAGAGTGAATCGAGAATGTCTGAAACATACCCACCACATTGTGCATTGCAATAGAACCCAAACATAAGAGATCATTTTGGTGACTTAATTTATCCACTGATTAAATATCACAACATGAAATTCAAAAAGCTGCTTCTCAATCTAATTGTAAAATCAAGTTTAGTAAAACAATCAATTCCAACTTCATCAACCTGAAACAAAGACAGAGACTGACACACAGACTGAGACCGAGTGACGCACACAGTCATAGCTAACACATCAATCTGTACTGTTCTCGTGTTATGAAGGTGGGGAGGGAGGGAGCAAGACTGAGAAACTGAGGGAGAATTCCAGAGTTTTGGGGCGGAGTGGCTGAAGGGACAGCCACCAATGGCATGTAACCAATGCCAGAATTCTGGGTTACTTGAGTTGACCAAAGGGTCAACTAAAGAAAAATGGCAGAGACTCATGGACTTGTTTTCTTCAGGAAAATTGCAGCTGTTTGAAAGCTAAGTTCGGGGGAAGTTGTTTGAGTTTTCTTCAAAATCATCGAGGGACAAAGATTTATTTTGAAACAAACTGTTGAAATTTTGATAAATTGTTTTGCAGTTGGTGTTTCTAATACATTGAACAGACTGGCGTGTGTGCCCATATTGCTGCGTGTGCCCATATTGCTGCGTGTGCCCATATTGCTGCGTGTGCCCACATTGCTATGACCAAAAACGTATAAAGAATCAGGGATTTTTTTTGGGTTATATCAGAGAAGCTAATCACAGCCAATCTTGAGAAAGAGGATATACAGAACTACAGTCCACATGGAACGATGCACGTTAACAGGCCAATTCTATTGGCCCCCAATCCTACACACGACATAAAGACTGAGACTCACCCGAATTTGTTCCAGCTCAGCCTTGTTTCCTGACTGTTGCCGCTCTAGCCTCACACTCAGCTGAGAGCAGATCTGGATGGGAAATAAAACAATCCGACGAGCTGAGAAAACTCGTTTTTTATAAAAATGTTTTCAGGCGTTGTCTATAGTGAGAGCAATCGCGATCACTTGCCCGGTGGGAAAATGCCGAGTAAGTCTCTTATTTTAATTATAAAATTTTAAAAATCAAGGGAAATTTTAAATTTCTGAGTGAGAAGAATCTAGAATATTTATACAGTAAAACTTACATCAGTCGTATCAGTTGAACTGTAACATTTAATACGACTGACACAAAGGTCTGAGTTACAGGCCAATGCACATCCTTCAGCTAAAGACCTTCCACAAACCCCCACCCCCACACACACCAACCTCCCGTCACACACCTCCCCCTCCCTCCCACACACACATCTCCCCACGCCCCCCCCCACCCTCACACAGACCTGCTTGTAATCGCCAATAATTGAGCTGTTCTTCTTGATCTCAGATTCTGCCTTGTCCAACTCTCTCCGGCACATCTCCTTCAGCTGTGGAATCAGAGCCAGACACAGGTTAAACCCAACACACACAGATACATACAGACACGCACGCACACACAGATACACACATACACCCTGGCCCCCTCAGCCATTGCTGCAGTAACCAGTCACAAGCTGCTGCTCAGTCAGTTTAACAAGAACCTGGAGTTGCTGAAAACATTGAAAACATTGTTAAAAGTTTGAGTTGGAATTGCTGGCTCCAGCTTTAAACTGATTTAATTATCAGGAGTTAAACTAAGCAAAAAAAACACAGGAACTGGGTGTGTATGGATTGTAGATGCTGATCACATTTAGCCAGTGTAAGTACGTAGTCAATTCAGCACCAACATACTGTAAACCCTGTCACCGCTGATCACATCAATATCTACTCCTTCACAAAAAGCTGAGGAAAGTAACAGTTCAGCAACTGTTTCCCAATTCCTGTAAAATGTGTAAATTGATGTGTTGACCTGAGCCGCCTCATCTTCCAGTCTCTTCTTCTCATCTTCAGCATCTACCAACTTCTGTTTGGTCATAAGTAACTCCTTATTTAGTGCGTCTGCTTTCTCCTCAGCCTGAAACACAAACATGTGCATAATCAACCACATCCCCATTGCTGTTCCAAACTATTAAGAAACGTCTCAAGGTGCTTAACATGATGAAAATAATTACAAAAGCGAATCCTATGGCGACAAATGTGTGTGCTGATTTGACCAGCAACATCCTACACACAATAAGATTAATAACTGACTAATAATACATTTTTGGGGTGAGGAGGGAATATAAACCAGATTTTAAAACAGTGGTGTGTGTGTGTGTGGTGGGTGCTGGAGGGGGGTGGCGTAGTGTGGGTGGGGGGAGAGAGATGAGAATACAGGCTTATCGCATCCGCCTGAATCACAAGACGGGTAGGAACTGAATCACTGAGTCAATAAGCAAAAGTTCAGGTTAAGTAGTAATTGTAGTTCAGCAGAGACACTGGCTCATGTGATGGCTGCTGGGCAAAAATCCAAAGTCAAAGCCTTCCGGCTCGACACAAACCCTGTCGACCGATGGTGAGAATATCGCTGATGTGAGAGGTCGCTTTGAATTACCAGGAACCATGTTGACATCCTGTAAATGCTGCAAATCCAAATAAAACCCTTCAATTCTTCAACTTTGCTTTGCTATATGCAACAGAGATGAATGCTGCGATTTCACTGCAAAGCTGACAGTTTCACTTTTAGACAAACACAATAAGTTACTGGAAATTCACTGGAGGTTCTACTGCAGTCATGACTCGGTAACAGCTCGTCCTATGAAGATTAGGAAATATATTTGCTGTCCCAGCACATCTGCAGCTTGAAGCTAACAGTGTGACTGAGAGTCTAGGGATTGAGATGTTCTCACATTGTCCAGGTCTTTCCGAAGTGCAATCTTGCTGGTAACCAGCTCATGTGCAAGGTCATCGTTTTCCTGTTCCAATCTCATGTTGGCCTCCTGAAGTCTCCGGTTCTCACGCTGATGGAGAGAACAGACACAAACTCAGCCGTCACAACAGACATTGCTTTTCAAATTATCTTTAAACAGAAACAAGCTCATCTAATACTAACCTTCAGCTCCAGTCCTTACCTCCCTGTTACAGCACAAGCCCCCTCCCCCCCACCCCATCTATCTATAAATGCACCGCATTCAAACAATGTTTAACCAGTTGGGTAAATAAGTGTGAACAGGACAATGCAACGGCAGAATCAGCGTAAAATCTTTCAATGAAGCTGAGCAGAGTTAACCCAAAAATCCTCTTGGGTTAGAAAAGCAAAGTGAGAGTTGGAAGATTGATTAGAAATACATAAAGCCAAGTGCACTCACAGCCCTCCATACAGGGCGATCTTATAGCAGAACCTGACAACACTTTGCAAAGCAAGCTCTGCACAGACTGTAATGTACAGGAAGTGACATCCGTGGCGATCTAATGACCCAGAACTTAGCCATTTTCCAGGCTTTTGCTTATAACACAGGGCCTGAGAGAACGGACCCAGATGAAGGATTACTCTTCTTGAATTTGAGACAGCATCTATAATGTCAAAACATCTCCAAATGCTTCATAGGTAATTGCAGTAACTATTTGTAGACAAACAGGACAGCCGACTTGAACACAGAGCCCTGAGGAGCGATGGGGCATTGGTGGCCAGGCCAGGTCAGGCGAGAGGAGGCGAGGAGAGGAGAGGACACACACAATAAATGGGCAGGGATCAGACCTGGACAAGTGGAGAGTGGCACCCAATCAATTGGCAGCTCTGTTTGTCTTTGCAATTTGTGTTGTTGTTGTTGTTGTTGTTGTCTGGCTACAGAGTGGGGAAATAAGATGCTGTGAATCTAGAGTGGGTCAGTCGGTCAGTCAGTGTTTAACAGAGAAACCCGTCTGGCGTTTCACCTGAAACTCAGTACAGAGGGAAATCCCCATCGACCATGGAGCAAAAAGAGACAGAATGAAATGATTACATTAGGAATCACACCGGGGCAGTAACAGATTGGGAAATTAAATTCTCCAGCATTCTTCCCAGATAAGCACAGCTGGAATCGGCTGTTCCAAAGAACACACTGCACTCTTTTCATTCCTTACTCAATAGAGTTATTGTATATTAGTTCACAGTAATCGGGATCTCCCACCGTACTCGTCGGCTTAGCTAAACATTGCAAATCTTGCATTTTGTCTGCGTCCTTCCTATTTTGGTCTCATTTGGAAACTTAGAAGTTTGTTTACAATACCATTGTCCACGTCATTTACAATATTAAAAATAGCCTCAGTGTAAACCAGAACCACTGCTGCCAGAGGACCTCATCATGTCTGTCTGACACATTTTTGATCTGCCAAATACTGAGCCTTCAGATCTACCACACGTTTGTGCCCCCCAACGAACTTCATTTCCAGCAATTGCTTATAAATGTCATTTTTGCTACTTTTTATTCTGAAATACAAGACGCAGCAGCAACAACAACAACTTGCATTTACAAAGCGCCCTTCACACAGAATGTCAGAGCATTTTAGAGTCTGTACAATACATTCAACATGAGGCACAAGTGTGAGAGATTATGCGCCATGTTTCATTTCCTACCTCAAACCGTTCCACAGGGTCCTCCTGCTGTGCCTGCTGCTCCCGCATCACCTGATATTCCTTTTCATATTTCTTAAGCTTCTTCTGGCCGATCTGTAAATGGAAACTTAATTAACACAAAGAGTTAAGTGGATTCCCATAGCACTAGATCACAAGATTGGTTGAGATGAAATAGGCCCTTCGGCCCATCACATCTCAACCTTCCACAACCGCCCCAACCACCTCCCCCATCACTGCATTGAGACACTTTTTAAATGAGTTCAGTAGCCTCTACCACCTTCTATCAAGCGAGGGGGTGGGGATTGGGGGTGAAGGTGGGGTTGGGGGTGAGGGTTGGGGGAAACCCCGACAGCTATCCAGAAGATTTGGTTCCTGGAAACGGAGAGAAAAATGGAAGAGAGTCAGCAGAGGGTGGAGAGAGAATGGGAGGGCAAGACAAGTGGAAGCAGATTGGAGAGAAGAGAAAACTGCAAACAATCAGGAAGGTGAGAGTTGAGATTAACTGAACCTCATAGAAACTGTAATGGAAAATGACTATTAAATGAGGAAACAGACAAATCTAACAAGTAAGCTGACACACACACACAAGTCTGTACACCAGCAAAGCAAGCTAACCATTTTACAAGATGCAAGTAAGCAATAAAGTAAAGGAGAATAGACGTGACATGGACACTGGTTGAGGCGAAGATTTTACAAGGGCAACAAGCAACAGAAAGAGAGGAAGAATACACAGAGCAGCAACAGTACTTGATGTGGATTTTACAAAGTACAAAACAGGCAGGAAACTGGCAATCAGATCAGGGGAATGGAAAGATGGGTTACATTCATTCTCCAGATCAATCTTCTTGAATCATGTCTGGACAAACTGCAGATCTAATCGATCTCAAATCAGCATGTGATCCACATGTCTACTGCAATTTGATCAGGTGGTAAATCAATTAGCAGACAAGACAACTCTGTTTTATTTTGATAGAAGATTTGCATGGAATTAATGGCAAATTAGATGGTTGGACTTGAGCAGAGACTTGAGCAGAGCGTGAGGAGGGAACAGAGTGAGAATTCTGTTAAGGAATTTGGTGAGAATGGGAATTCTTCAGCAAGAGAGATGCCAGAGATAACTCTTCCATTCAGCAGAATAGTGGGCAATCTCTCTTGAGGCAGAGGCAACCTTATATGTAAGCCGGCAAACAAGTCAATTAGCAGTTAATCATAGGCCAGGTGTTGGAGATTAGTGAGGTGGAACAGACGGAGAAATCTATTAAGGAATTTCGTGAGAGTGGGAATTCGGTGCAGAGGTGCATAATTATAAAATATATAACAGTTAGATTAAAATAATATAAAATATGTCTGGGAATATGGCAGGACAGCTGAGACCGGTTGCAATACACAATGTGTGCCATGTGGGAACTGCAGGATGCTTTGTATGCCCTGGACAGACACGTGTGTAGGAAATGCCTCCAGCTGCTCGAGCTTGAGTTCAAGAGTTTCTGAGTATTAGAATGTAGCATTAGAGAGTACAAACAAGTTACACAGAGGACTGGGAGAGACAAATAGCAATGTAATCAGGAGTAATCCAGAAAAAGGAGGGATTAGACAGGGGAGAAATGCAGAACATACTAAGTCAGTATTGCAGTGCATGTGCGTAAATGCAGTGTGTGAGACAAATAATATTGGTGAGCTGCAGCTCAAGTTGCCAAATGGGATTATGATGGAGTGGCAATAACGCAGACCTGGCTCAAACAAGGGCAGGAATGGGAGCTGAGTATTCCTGGCTACAGTGTTTTCAGGAGGGAGAGGGAAGGAAAAAAAGGAGGTGGTGTGGCAAAGACACAGTTATGGAGCAGAAAAGGAGCTGTTACTCTGTTAGGTGTATATTACACACCATCAAGTAGTGGGAAGGAGATGGATGAGCAAATCTGCAGCAGATTTCAGAAAGAATCAAAAACAATAGATTAGTGATAATGGGAAACTTCAATTATCCTGACATAGACTGGCAAAATAACAGTGTAAAGGGCAAGGAGGGGGAAGGATTCCTGAAATGTGTGCAGGATAATTTTCTGGATCAGTATGTTTCCAGCCCAACGAGGAAGGAAGCAGCACTGGATCTAGTTCTGGGGATTCAAGTGGAGCAGGTTTCAGTAGGAGAGCATCTGGACAACAGTGACCACAACATCATTAGGTTTAGAGTACTTATAGAAAGGGACAAGGAACGATCAAAGGTGAAGATACTCAACTGGAAGAGGGTTAATTTCAATGAGTTAAATCTCCCCCCTCCTTCTCCCTCCCTTCCCTCCCCTCACCCTGACCATTTCCCCCCTGCTCGGGTCCTGACCCAACTGTACAGCGCCTTAGGACGTCCTCCTGACGTGAAAGGCGCTCTATAAATGGAATCTTGTTGTTGTTGTTGTTGTTATAGGGACCTGGCCAAGATAGACTGGAAAGAAAGATTGGCAGGTAAACAGCTACGAGCAATGGGAAGCCTTCAAGGAGGAGATAGTTCGGGTACATTCCCATGAATGGGAAAGGTAAGGCATCCAAACCTCCCTGGATAACTAAGGAAATTGGAATTAAAATAAAACAGAAAACGGAGGTTTGTGACAAATATCAGGTCCAAAATACAGAAGATAATCAAATAGAATATAGAAAGTACAGAGGAGAAGTGAAAAAGGAAATAGGAGGGGCAAAGAGATTCTATGAAAAAAGATTAGTGGGTAACATAAAAGGGAACCGTAAGGTATTTTATAAGCATATCAAGAATAAAAGGTTAGTCAAAGGTGGGGGGGGTCCAATTAGGGACCAAAGAGGAAATCGTCTTGTGGGGACAGAGGGCACGGCTGATGTACTGAATGAGTACTTTGCATCTGTCTTCACAAAGGAAGAGGATGCAGCCAATGCCACAGTATCAGAGGAGAGAGTAGAGAAGTTGGATAGGATACGAATAAACCGAAAGGAGGTATTAAAAAAGGTTGTCGGTGCTCAAGGTAGATAAGTCACCCGGTCCGGACCGGAGGCATCCTAGGTTACTGAGGGAAATAAGGATGGAAATACGGAGGCTCTGGCCACAATCTTCCAATCCTCCTTGGACACCAGTGTGGTGCCAGAGGACTGGAGGGTTGCAAATGTTACTCCTCTGTACAAAAAGGGACAGAAGGATAAACCCGGGAACTACAGGCCAGTCAGCCTAACATCAGTAGTGGGGAAACTTCTAGAGACTATAGTCCAGGACAAAAGATCTTTTTCACTAAGAAAAATATGGGTTAAGAAAGGACAGCCAACATGGGTTTGTTAAAGGCAAATTGTGTCTCGCAAACCTGATAGCGTTTTTTGATGAAGTAACGGAGAGGGTGGATGAAGATTGTGCAGTTGTTGTAGTTTATATGGATTTTCAAAAGGTGTTTGATAAAGTGCCACATAAGAGACTTGTAAGCAAAATAGAAGCCCACGGTATTAAAAGGACAGTGGCAGCGGATAAAGAACTGTCTGGGAGACAGAAAGCAGATAGTAGTGGTGAATGGTTGTTTTTCTGACTGGAGGGAAGTTTGCAGTGGTGTCCCCCCGGGGTCGGTATTGGGACCACTGCTGTTTGTGATCTAAATAAATGACCTGGACGTGGGTATAGGGAGTACAATTTCCAAGTTTGCAGATGATACTAAGATGGAAAAGTAGTGAACAGTGAGGAGGATAGTAACAGACTGTGAATGGCCATAGACAGACTGGTAACACGGGCAGACACGGGGCAGATGAAGTTTAATGTGGAGAAATGCGGAGTGATGCATTTTGGAAGGAAGGATGAGGAGAGGCAATATACGCTGATGGTACAATCTTAAAGGGGGTGAAGGGACAGAGAGACCTGAGGGTCATATAGTAAATCTTTGAAGATGGCCGGACAGGCAGATAAAGCTGTTGAAAAAGCATATGGGATACAAGGCTTTATAAATAGGGCATAGAATACAAAAGTCAGGAAGTTATGATAAACCTTTATATAAAACACTGGTTAGGCCTCAGCTACAGACTGTGTTCAGTTCTGGGCCCCACACTTTAGGAAGGATGTCAAGGCATTGGAGAGGGTGTAAAGGAGATTGACCAGAATGGTACCAGGAATGAGGGCCTTCAGTTATCAGGAGAGGTAGAGAAGCGAGGGGTATCCTCCTTGGAGCAGAGAAGGTTAAGAGGTTAAGAGACTTAATAGAAGTTTCCAAATGATGAGGCGATTCGATAGGGTGAACAGGAGAAACTATTCCCACTGGCGGGTGGGTCGGTAACCTGAGGACACCCATTTAAAATAGTTGTTAGAAGAAACAGAGGGGAGGTGAGGAGAAATGTTTTCACACAGCGAGTTGCTGGGATATGGAAAGCATTGCCTGAAAGGCTGGTGGAAGCCAATTCAATAACAACCTTTAAGAGAGAAGTAAATCATTATTTGGGGAGGACAAGTTTGCAGGGTTATGGGGAGAGAGCAGAGGGAGTGGGGCTGATCAGGGCTATGGGGAGAGAGCGGGGGAGTGCGGTTGATCAGGGCTATGGGGAGAGCGCGGGGGTGTGGGGTTGATCAGGGCTATGGGGAGAGAGCGGGGGAGTGGGGTTGATCAGGGCTATGGGGGGGGAGTGGGGTTGATCAGGGCTATGCGGAGAGAGCGGGGGAGTGGGGTTGATCAGGGCTACGGGGAGAGAGCGGGGGAGTGGGGTTGATCAGGGCTATGGGGGGGGAGTGGGGTTGATCGGTGCTTTGGGGAGGGAACGGCTGAGTCGCATTGATTTGGAAGCTCTTTTCAAAGAGTCAGCACAGACACAATGGGCCGAATAATTCTATATAATTCTATAATTTTATGACTGAAAACTGGGATGGCCATGGCACATAGACACTGTATTCTGTTTTGGGAGGTAATCGAGACTGCACGGAGTAAGCCTGTCTTTATACCATTCTGAAGCAATATAAGCAATATGGAAGAGGCTATTTCTAACATGAACAAATAGCCAAGTGACAGCACTGCAGCACAGGGCTGGCAACAAGACCTTTCCCTGCATCAATTAGTGAGGGATTTCCTGGGCACAGATTCGAAGATCGATATTGCAGAATACGAGAAAGTAACAGCACAAACAATTGTCAACACCAGTACATGTGGGATGGGATACAGACATTGCAATGGCAAACCCCAGGTGTCCTTAATAGAAACTGTACCATCCGACCCTCCTCGCCAAAAAGAAGTAAAAATATGCAAACCCCAGCTCAGGCAGACTTTGCCCTGGATCAGGGGAATTTTGCTGGAACCCAATTAAGGACTAATGTTTGTAGTTAATACTTTGTTACATTGATTTCATTCGCTCCCCCCAGTCCTATGTGAACTGAATATTTGTAGAAATGTACTTGCAGCCCACCCAGTCAAATACAATTCCAATAAAATCCACGAGGAGTGTAAACAGTGAGTTTTCACGCCAGCCTCCTGCCTTCCCACACGTCAACAAGGTTCCAGCCCAACCCATTACCTTCATGCTACAGGCCAACTCCATCAGCTTTTTAGCATTTTCTTCCGAACGATATCTTTTGGGAAGCTGAACGCGGAAAAATTTTAAGGCCCCTTCAAAATCCGTCAACAGAAGATCATCTTTTGAGGTCTGTAAAAAGAGGCGTTTTAAACAAATAAAAGTAAAGACAATCCTCAATAATGTTCTCCGCAAAAACACACACACATGCAACACATAGACACACACACACACACATGCAACACACAAACACACACACCACACACACTAACTGCTCAGATCTGGGGAACAATCAGGATTCTTTAAAACATTGGCATAAAATCTTCCTGCCCACTCGGGCGAGAGACCAGAGATCATGACTTTTATTCTAAAATCAGATTTGTTCATTAATCAGACCAGCCCCACAAAAGGCTGAACAGAACAGGAGCCTCTGTGGTGAGAAGCTCCATTAACACACTGATATTAACAAGGGGCAAAGCTTTACAGATAACACAACAGAAATTTGCACTATATAGCAGCATTTTATGCAGGTAAAACATCTTGTGTCTCTAACCCTAATGTTTTACTCAAGATAATTGGCAAAGGCATGAAACTTGCAGTACTTACCTTTAGTAAACCCAGTGCAACGTTGAAGATAACGCTTATTCCCTTAAGAAAGTTAGAGAGTAGTGAGCAAGTTTTAAATGAAGTTCTTCAATCTGTTCTTCAAATAAAGTACATTTTATGATGTAAACAGTTTTGCGAAAAGCATTAAAATGCCATCAGGTAAACAGTGCCTGGTTTAGAAGCAGAGCAGCCATAGACTGTACTGATGTCCAAGTGACCATTCCTCATGTGTGAACCACACACACGGACCTAATCTAGCCAGGCAGAGTTAGGGGCTGACCCCACCCTCATCGTCAGACAGGGGTAATGACTGGATGTCCCCCCTCCTGTCCCTACGCTCCCGAGCCCCAAACCACCGAGGCCAACTCCAGCAGCCTCGTAGCCTGTCACTAGCCACGGGCACTCTGGCTGAGATCAGTTAGCCTGGCACAGCCTGTGACTAGCCCTGGGCTCTCTGGCTGAGATCAGTTAGCCTGGCACAGACTGGTCACTAGCCCTGGGCTGTCTGGCTCTGTGTGGGGCTGCCTCGATAGTGCAACCACAGAAACAATCTTTGGAAATTTCAACTTGAACAAAAGAAACTCCCAGAAACATATAAAATAAGCTGGGACCACCCCACCCTTTAAGGCTTTGGCTGCAGGAGCTGAGTGGGAGGATTCCCTGCCCCCAGTGACTGGTCTACTCTTTTTATTCATAAACAGCACCATCGTGTGGCCATTATAATAAATTATAATAAATATAACAAATAAAACTATGACTATAAAACTAGGTTCACATTCTGCTTTTGCTGTGGTCGTCAAAGCTGATTTACACAACAACCTGCAGTATATATATCGTCAAGCCAATAAACACAAAATATAAACCAAATTCACAACCAAACTCCAATCGCGTTGGCTCCTTTTATTCGTTCTTTTTTTAAAAAAAAACTTGTGAACATAACGTCTCAGACTTTAGTCAAACAAAAATTAAAATGTTCACTTTGTAACTTATAGAATTATGCAGCACAGAAGGAGGCTATTCAACCCATCGTGTCTGTGCTGACTCTTTGAAAAGAGCTTCCAAATCAACCCACTCCCCCACTCTCTCCCCATAGCCCTGATCAACCCCACTCCCCCACTCTCTCCCCATAGCCCTGGTCAACCCCACTCCCCCGCTCTCTCCCCATAGCCCTGATCAACCCCACTCCCCCGCTCTCTCCCCATAGCCCTACAAACTTGTCCTCCCCAAATAATTATCTACTTCTCTCTTAAAAGCTGTTAGTGAATGGCAATGCATTCCAGATCCCAACAACTGGTTGTGTGAAAAAAATTTCTTCCAACAACAATTTAAATTGGTGTCCTCGGGTTACTGACCCACCCACCGGTGGAAATAGTTTCTCCTTCAAATCCCCTCACAATTTTGAAAACTTCTATTAAATCTCCTCTTAACCTTCTCTGCTCCAAGGAGGATAACCCTCGCTTCTCTACCTCTCCTGATAACTGAAGGCCCTCATTCCTGGTACCATTCTGGTCAATCTCCTTTGCACTCTCTCCAATGCCTTGACATCCTTCCTAAAGTGTAGTGCCCAGAACTGAACAGTCTGTAGCTGAGGCCTAACCAGTGTTTTATATAAAGGTTCATCATAACTTCCTGACTTTTGTATTCTTTGCCCCTATTTATAAAGCCTTGTATCCCATATGCTTTTTTAACAGCTTTATCTGCCTGTCCGGCCACCTTCAAAGATTTACTATATGACCCCCAGGTCTCTCTGTCCCTTCACCCCCTTTAAGATTGCACCATCAGCGTATATTGCCTCTCCTCATTCTTATCCCAAAATTCATCACTTTGCATTTCTCCACATTAAACTTCATCTGCCCCGTGTCTGCCCGTGTTACCAGTCTGTCTATGTCCATTTACAGTCTGTTACTATCCTCCTCACTGTTCACTACTTTTCCAGCTTAGTATCATCTGCAAACTTGGAAATTGTACTCCCTATACCCAAGTCCAGGTCATTTATATAGATCACAACAGCAATGGCCCCAATACCAACCCCGGGGGGACACCACTGCACACTTCCCTCCAGTCAGAAAAACACCCGTTCACCACCACTCTCTGCTTTCTGTCTCCAGTTGAGGCCTAACCAGTGTTTTATATAAAAGTTCATCATAATTTCCTGACTTTTGTATTCTATGCCCCTATTTATAAAGCCCAGTATGCTTTTTTATATTCTCAACAGTAACATCAAGCCTATTCAACAACAACTCACCTCACAAAGTAGCAGGTCAATGATGTGGAAGACCATATAGAGAGGAAATTTAGCAGTAAACAGAGTCAGGAACCACTGTGAGGCATACATGTGTGCTTCAAGACTGATGTTTAAGAAATGGCTGTACAAATCTGGAATGTACTCCTGAAAGTAAAAGCAATGTTGTAAGGTTTGGAAAGGTAACAGAACAAATGAGCAGAGTGAAGGTTATTTTCTTACTTACCTGCATCAATTTCTCCAGCTGATAGAATTTGCAATGCAAGTCTTCGAAATTTTGTTTGAAAAGTTCCCTGAGTCCGTAGTCAAACATGATCTTCACCAGTACACTGAACGCCTGCTCTTCAGGCATCTGAGAGGAAACAAGTTGGAAATACACAGTTGTGAAAAACCACAGATAATTTATAATTTTCTTTAGATATAAACATGCAAATGAGTGATCATAGATAGTTCAATTTTACAACAATTTCTATTTTGATGGCAAAAACTAACACTGAACATGCAAGGATTATTATTATCATTAAGAACATAACTATTCCAATGCCCTCCTCGCTGGTCTCCCCAGATCCACCATAAACAAAATCCAATTAATTCAAAACTCTAGCTCCTGGATTCTCACCCACACAAAACTCCATACCCCCATCACACCATTTCTTGCCAGACTCCACATCACTGAATGGATTGACTTCAGGATCCTCGCACCCTTGCTCCCTCCCTCCCCACCCTCAAATCCCACCTAAAGGTCTTTTTTGATCGTGCTTATGGTCACTTCGCCCCTCCCTCTCCCCCTGGCTCGGTGTCAGACTCCGCCACTGTTAAGCGCTCCGGGACACCATCCCACGTGAAGGGCAAGTTGCTGTTGTCACTGATTGTGGTGGAATGTGACCCACCTCCATGAGAGGGAGCTCTACACCAGAACCTTAGTAAATGACTGGAATGCCATGAGTACCTACATGAAGCAGAAGCACAGCAGCAAGAAACGACTGGCCTTGACAGTAGCCAATCTCCTCATCGTAAACCGAATAGGCCTGAGTGGAAACAAACAGCTTTAACATTATGCAACACTTGCCATAAAAGAAGCACACTCTGTCACCCAGAGGGCAACACACAGCTCCAACACAGGAGATAGCTCGACAGTGGACTAAATGGTCCTTTACTGTGCTGTAATCTCTACGAGAAACTGGTAAATTGTTCCTGTGGCATGATTGAAAATGAGTTTCTCGTGAACAATCCCCAGATAAAATTGGTCATTCATTTCATGGCTGTTTATGGGATGTTGCTGTGCACAAATTGGCTGCTGTGTTTATCTACAAAATGTGCTGTCATACTTTACAGTACGTCCTGTCAAGTGCTTTGAGACGTCTCCTGAAGTGATAAGGTGCCACATTAAATGGAACAATTACAATATTATTATTAAGTCAGGATTCATCCAACTCCATAACCCAAATGATCCTGGAGGATATACCAATCTATCAGGCGGATGGGGACATGATAACTTAAAAAAACTTTGGGGGCCACAGATGTGATGAGCTTCTGTGCAAGAAGTTTCTGCATTTCCAATTTTACTTTAGCAGCAAAGAAATAATGGCTGCAGTGCCTAACGAACCACAAAAAAAGAATTTGCAATCTTCCCACCAACTGACAATCCTGTATCAGGTTTGAAGGCTTGCAAATAATAAGGGCAAATAAAATGGTGATCACCTCTTGTCTTGTCAAGCATTCCGAGACGCTGCCCTGCATGAAAAATGCTGTTTACGTGCAATTTTTGTTGTTGTTGTTTATAGACAAATAAATGCTTTCAGAGACGACAGGCTCTCATCAACAGTCAAACATCTTTGTTCAAGAGGAGTAGATCTCCTAGAAAATGACTGACTGTGCCTCATATTTCACAGAACATTTTCCTAAATAACAATTGCAACTTAAGTGGAAACAAACAGCAAGTCTGTACCTTGCATATCTTGTACAAGGAATCCTGACCATCTCCGCCGGTGTCCTTAAAGTAATCGTGTGCTGGGAAAGTGCGATTGATGTCCCTTGTGATAGCGCTGTCCTGAGGAGATTCCTGTTTCCATAGAGAACAAATAGGTTATCACCAGAAAAGCCCAAAATAAATGAGTTTACATCCACCAATACCATCACATAGCTTCACTTTACCTACTTTACTCAGAGCAGCAATGTGTGGGCAGGGAGGCAATGGAAGCGGATAATGTATGCAGTTTCAAGAGGGAATAATATAATGTTTTGATGACAAAGGAGATTGTGAGGTGGGAGATTTCAAAAAACGGGAGTTGTCTGAAGGTCTTCAGAATCCTTTCAGTTTCTGCAGGTTTCTCTGTTCCTAAAATACACCCATGTTCTCCTGTTTCCCCCGTCTCTGCTCAGCTGCCTGGTCACAAAGTGTCTTTGGCCGAAAGAGGTGATGAACAAAGAAAGTCTTCTACCCTAATGGCTCGTTCCAGGGAGCTAGCATTTCCTACACAACTTAAATGTTATAATGAATGAACGTCCCATCTGAAAATAATCATCCATTGCTACTCGTCATTTCAAAGCACGACAAGTGCACTCCTCAATTTAACTAATTTGTTACATTCCACATAGCTATTTTATAAAACTTTAGAGTATTGTGAAGCCATGCACTGACTCCAGTAATTTATAGAGATTATAAACAGGAAACAGAATTTATATTTCTGGCTTCAATCTTACTCTTGTCGAGATAATAATAATCCTTGCATTTGACGCAGCACCTATCACTATCACTTCACTTCATACAATAGGACTTATTGTAGGCAATTTGATGTTTTTTGTAGGCAAACACAGCATCCACAAACAGCCTTAAAGTGAACAACAAATGTTATCTTGGAGACTGTTGGCTAGGAGACCAGAAGAAACTGCCTTTGCTTTTTGAATAGTGCATGGAATTTTAATTTCCTCCTAAACAAAAGCACAGAATGAAGGCACACCTTGTCTTATCCAAAGGGCAGCATCTTTAACACTATAGCACATCTCCAGCACTGCACTAGATTGTCAGCCTATCTTACGTGAGTTGAAAGTCCCGACACATGGCACAGATGTAAGAGACCTACCAACTGAGCCAGGCTGAAACCTCTGCCAGGGGAGTTCAAAAGCAAGGCACAATACTGCTTATACGCAATCACATATTATTATTATTCCCCTCTAAAAGGGCAAGATAACAAGATATTCAAAGTTCATTCACAAAGGCTTGTTTAAAATGACAAAAGAGGAGCGATGATGGGAAGGTTTAAGATTTAATCAAGTTTAGGAAAGAGTAACTACTTCTCAGTTTCCAAATTATTTTTAGCATTGTAAGTTCTTTCACCAGTTCACTTGTTGGAGTTTACAGAACAAATTGAGACTCCATGCCACCAAATGCTGAAAGCACCTGTTCTTTCTCAGCCCTCGCTGTTTGCATGCCAAATGGACATATTTATTTAAGTGCACTAACTTTGACTTCATCAAAACTATTTCATGTCCATACACAGTGTCAGAAAAGTCTCAACAATGTAAAATATTATTTTGATGATACCTGTATTACATAAGATACTGGCAAGTTTTCAGCTATCTGGACAAATCAAGTGGTGTGGCAAGGTTTTCACACTGAGATAATTATTGCATCATTTAACCATATATCAGGAATGTCTCTCTCTCTCCCCCTCCCCACCCCTCCTTTCTATGTACAATCCCAATAGAAATTAAATCAGCATCGCTTACTCCCACCTTCACAAAGGTTTCCTCCCACACATCAGTCTATGACCAGATGCTATGACTGATAAGCTTGCAATCTCAATAAATCAAAGTACCTCAAAATAAGTCAGTCAGCGATGCTTTTCCAGCACATTTATAAATGTGAACAATGCGGAACTTTAAAAGCCTTGCATCCAATTTCCTTCGTTTCACAGCTGGTTTATTTAATGGAGCGGGAATCGTATTCGCTTTTTATGTAATTTCTGTAACCAATCTTGCTGATTTCAGAGAGTTACAAATTAATGCTACTTTCATGTTGGATAATTTTAATTGGTATTAATTGTTTCATTGTATAAACGCTGAAAGGAAAATGCCTTCTGAAGTGGAACAATTTCATAAATATAAGCCAAACTTCAAGCCCTTCAACTGGCTTTAGAAAGAAAGCAAGGCCTCAGTCCTAGCTGGTGAACTCACCAGTATCACTTATCCCTATTAATAGGTCTAGGAATAATATTTCTTTAAATAAAGAACCTTCCCTGATCAAAGTTAGGAGGGGGTCTGCCCTCCAGCCTTCTCCATAGTACATTAGCTCTCAAAGTTGTTAGTTGCAGTTTTCTAAATCCATTAGGATCTAAAATTGTTAATCCCTGAACGCGACATCCAGATGACCCATTCAATCAATCCACAGAGCTTTAACCTTGCTGTCACAGCTAATAAGTGTTTGCCGTTTACCCCACTGCAATTCACAGACCAGAAAAGAACACAACAAAATGTTCGGATGCTTTAAAATATACAAAAGCCACAACGTATTAGTTTGTACAATATCCCCGATAACAAACTGCACTGTTAATTGACCACATCTACATTTTACAATAAATCCTGTGAAGCACTCAGTTTCGCTGATGTGACAAGGTGCTGCATCAAAATGCAAAGATGAGCAACTTTATCTTCAGTTTTAAGATTGTGTTATCTTTTGGATCTTTTCAGAATGGAGTCCAATGGCTATAAATTAGGATCAAGTTACACAATCAACCGACCGCACAAGTACAGATTGCTTTTCTTGTACAATGAAAATCCAGTTTCAGTCTCAAAGGGATACAATACGTCTATGTTTATATATTGCCTTTCAAGTCAGAGCAACATCTCAAACCCTGAACGAAGCTGTGGGAGGAGGGCAGCTGGAGAGGGTGGGAGGTGAGCACAACATTCACCAAAAAGTAGACAAAATCCAAGTGTTTTTAAACAATCATTTTATTGCTAAGACTTTTGTGCAGGATATATTGTGACAATGACAACTTCCATCACTTTCAATTGCCATAAGTAATGAAAGTCTGTAATAATGGTATTTTTAGCCACACAAGTTCATCTAATAATACAATCAATTGACTGCACAACATTCACCATATTTTCCCTCAGGGCATGAGGAAAACAAAATAACTGGCAACTCTAGTTTTACTCTTGCACACTTTCCATTGTAAATACAAAATGCTTGACTCTAGCACTAGCAAATATCACAGGATATAGTTATACAACTTTGAAAGCTATACAGTCTCACCATCAACTGATGTCACAGACAGAAAGCCAGCAGCCATGGATTCACACAGCAGAAACCTCAGGCCATTTTGTGATGTACTTTCCAAATATTTTAAACAGAAACATCTTTGGTAAAACCAATTCACCTTCCAAAATGTATATGTTTATTCCACTAGATTTGTCATGACTTCACAGCCCATTTTTAAAAAATATATATTACTCCTACCTACATAAACTGGATCTGAAATTACCTAAATTTTTTTTAGGTAATCAAACTACATGCTTTCATCATTTATTTTGGTCAAATTGTGTACCACAATTTTAAGGTTAAAAACTTTGAGAGAAAACTATCTAATGCACAATTTTTCTACGCAATTTATAAACTCTCATTGGTAACTCAAAGTGCTGAAGGTTTACATGGCCCCCCCCACCCCATCCACCCAATAAACTGAGTTATAAAAACAGCCGAGCACAGAGTTCGAGACCCTTGAGGGATTTAGCCCTTTAACTGAATCAAATTTTGTTTTAAGGCAGAACAGTTCTATTATGTACAATCGCACAATGTAACTTTGGAAGCAATGACTTGTGAGGTGATGGCCCCAAGATCACAGTGCTGCAACAGCAATAACAGTGTCCAAACAGTGTTGAGGTCTACACATTGTGCACACACTGCTCTGGGTTAAGTGTAGAAATGCATTCCACATTTCAGTGTTACACGAGAAGAGGATTTACCTCTTTAGAAGATGATTGTGGAACTGAACTCAGTCTAATGGGGAGTCTCACCCAAATTTATTCCAACCAAGACCTATATATGTACTTGATATCCTCCCAACATGAAGGCCATTATACAAATATAATTTGTTGTTGTTGATAAGCTATGCAGGAAGAGTAGAATTGGCACTCGGAGTTTAAAACTGACCATGCAATGCACCACATATCGTGGTTTAGAAAACATTCTCAGAAACTTTAGTGGAAATTTGATCGGTTGAACGACAATCTGATTGTTGGAATTGAATATCCATTAAAATACACAACATTCAGCAAACGTTGGCTGCAAAGCTGAGGATCTCAGCTGAAGAGACAATCAACAAAGTTCATTTAGAAATTTTAAAATATTTCATTCAGATTTACAGGTTGGTCGGAAACAATTTTACTTTTGAATATCTGACAATTGAACTTTCTGTTTAATCAGAGTCAAGTAAAATAAATGTAGAAATTGTATCATGAAGCCAGCGGTCTATTCTGATCAAGTTAAATAGCTTTGGTAATGTGCACTATATATCTGCTGTGTGCATCTGTGCATCAGCTGGTCAGACTCTCGTCTTGGCCAGAACAGCCAACAACATGCAGTTTAATGCACGTTCCAATAAACCCCAAAAATACGTTAAGACAATGAGAATGAGCAGAAGCCTCAAAAATATTCCAAGCTTATTCACACAAGGCACCTAAAATACTGTCATAATATAGCCAGCAGTTTAAAAAAAATCCACAGTCATGAAATAAACCGTGAAAACATTTGTGCAATATACTACTGCAATAGCATGTTTTCACAGAAATACACATTATGCTGTAGCAGGCTCGCCATCTTACATATTCACAACATAAACCCCATTTACTTTGATAGAAAAATTCAAGAAGCCCTTTTTCACTCAATATGCTTAAGTTTTTTTTAGAAAACACTTTAAGACATGAAATATACTCAAAGTCACATGAATCTAGTACAGTTATTTACACAAATATCTTCACAACTCATTGCAGTAATGGACAAAGGAAGGCAAACGACGAGTAAAGTAGCAACTAGCACCAATATAATAATAAATAAAAGTA